GTCTATATTCTATATATAGTGTATACAATGTACATATTTATACAATATTGTATACAATACACTTGTATATTATATAAAGCATGCATGTGAAATATATATTGTATATTGTGTAAGTGATATTAGATAGGGCAGAGATTGACGTGGCCAGAGATTTCCTCTTGCTTGGATACACAATGAACACCCTTGACACAAGACATCAGGAGATCAAGGGATGCAGAGGACTGGAAAAAATCTGCCGTCAGGGCCCTCTCCAAAGTCCTCACGAGCAAGGCAGTCAGTTTACAGAGTTATCCACTTCCTAAACCACATGCCTCCGGAAACTCTATGAACATTGATAAATGTCGATAGTTATAGAAAGGCTTCAGGCCTTTTACTTGAAGAGTCACTATGAGTCGTGCTCGACTCGAAGGCAATCAACAAAGACAACTATGGGAAGTCAAACTTTATACCAAATATTATATGAAAAACCTTGTTCAGGAATTGAAGGAATTACAAATATATAAGTAAGGATTTCTCTTGTGGCAGATCCCAGAAAATGAGCTGTTTGTTCCCTGCAGACAGGAAACAGCAAGGGGCCCCCTACAGAGGGAATGTTACTTCCTGAGCTAGAGTTCACCCTGAGGCACCAAGGCAATCCTTAAGGGTAAACCAAATTCTTGCATTAGTGAACCCCTCCTCCTGTGCCAAGCAGAAGGTTTTCAATAGAAAGAGCTTGGCTTCGTTTGCATTGAATTCTCTTTGTGATTTACTTCCTGATAATTTTCAATAAAGACACAGAGAAACATGACTTGGGGTATTCCGTGGAGAACTGCTGGCCCCCTGTTTTATGCTCTCTGCTCTATCTCATTCCTGGCTGTTTGTCTCTTTATTAATAATTATAAAATTATTCCATTCTTTGGGACCCTTGGTCTGCAACAGACAACCACCACCAAGTGCATGGATTGCTTTTCACTTCCTCGCCAAGCAGCTGAAAGTTGGACCATGAATAAGGAAGGATGACAGGAGGAGAATGGACAGCCTTGGAGCTGTGGTGTTGGAGAAGAGCACTGGACATCTCAGGGATGGCCAAGAAGACACACAGATCTGTCTTAAAGAAAGTGCAGCCAGGTACTTCATAGAGGCCAGGATGGGGACATTTGGGGCCTGTGGTCATCTGGGGCCTCACATCCTTGGGGCCTGTGGTCATCTGGGGCCAGTCCTTGGAGCAGGACGTCCTGCTGAGGAAGGTGTAGGGTCAGAGAGACAGAGAGGAAGACCCTCTGTGAAATAGATGGGCAGAGTGACCACAGCCATGGCCTGGAGCCTGTCAGAGAGCGTCAGAACAGGGTAGGACATATACTGTTCCCTGGGCCACTTTGAGCCGTATTTGACGTGGGAGTATCTCACAACATCAGTTTTATATCTATGCATTCAATGTTTTGTTGCTTCTTGGAGGCAGCATGGACTCATAGCTGGGATTTCAGAGCGTGATCAGCTCTTATCAATGATTTCCTTTATGTATTGAGTTGAGTTGTTGATGTTCTGTGAACCACAGATCTCAGCCCCATCCAATCTTGCACCATAAAACAGATCCACCCAATATATCATGCATATTGACTGGACTCCTGGAAAAAAAGCAAAGAATCCCATGTGTAAGACCAACAGTCATGAGCGACTTTAAAGAAATGGTGAGAGAGTTAAAAGAGATGTGAGGTGAAGCAGAGGAAGAGAATTAGAACATCAGGTAATGGACATGATGAGAAGTATCATATCTGATGAACAAGACAACCGCCGTTGATGATTATCTTGGGGAGACAATTCTTGAATGGAAAACTTCATTTCTGCCTACACCAGAAGCATAAACACAAATGTTATGTAAAACATCACCAAAATAGTGCAACAATGAATGAATGGGAACTCACAATCTCTGTAAATGCTCATTAAAATGAATAAAACAAGTATCAAAGATTAGAGTATAAAAAAGATAAAATCAAAGTTAAAAAAGCAAACAAAAACCAACATCACCAAATGACCTAGATCAAGAATAACTGATAAAAAAACACATCCATATGACTATTTCAAACACAATACAAAGGAAACAATATGAATGAAATATACATGGTGTATTTCATTGTATATTGTATACAATGTTCATATTTACACAATATTCTATACAATACACTTGTATATTATGCAAAGAATGCATGTAAAATACATTATATATTGTATAAGCAATGCATGTGAAATTACATGTTTATTGTATAAACAATGTATGTGATATATACATGGTATTCTGTACAGTGTGTGAAATATGCATGGTATATTGAACAATGTATGTGAAATATACATTGTATATTGTACAATGTATATGAAATTTATCTGTCTATTATATACACTATGGGAAATAGGCATTGTATATTGTACAATTAATGTGAAATACATTTGTATATTTTACACACTATGTGAAATATACATTTTATATGGTACAATGTTTGTGAGAAATACACATTGTATATTATAGAAACAATATGTGTGAAGGGTATATAGTGTATTGTACAATGTATGTAAATATATATTGTATATTGTACAATTTATGTGAAATATATAGCATATATTGTATATTGTATGTTAAATGTATATCGTATATTGTACAATGTATGTGAAATATATCTCGTATATTGTACAATGTATGTGAAATATATATTGTATATTGTACACTTTATGTGTATTGTGTGATGTTTTTGAAATATACATTGTATATTGTACAATATATGTGAAATATATTTGTATATTATATACACTATGTGAAATATACACTGTATTTTGTATAAACTTTGTGAAATATACATTGTATATTGTGTAAGCTTTGTGAAATATATGTTGGGGTTTTTTTAGAAATAGATGTTGTATAGTGTATAATATATGTGAAATCTACATTGTATATTGTACAATGTATGTGAAATATATTTGTATATTATATACACTATATGAAATATACATTATATGTTGTACATTGTATGTAAAACACTCATTGTATATTATAAAATCAATGTGTGAGAAGGATACACTGTGTATTGTGCAATGCATGTGAAATATGTATTGTATATTCCATAAGTTATGTGAAATATATGTTGTATAGTGTGTAAATTATGTGAAATATACATTGTATATTGTACAATGTGTGTGAAATATATTTTTTATTGTATAAACTGCATGTGAATGATACATTGTGTATTGTACAATGTATGTGAAATATACATTGCGTATTAGAAGCAGGAGTGGCATCCACTTCCTAAACCACATGCCTCTGGAAATTCTGAACTTTGATAAATCTGAATAGTTATCGAAAAGGTCAGGCCTTTTGTTCATGGGATCGCTATGAGTCATGCTCAACTTGATGGCAATTAACAACGACAACAATAATTGTACAACGTACATGAAATAGAGTTGTATATTATATACACTATGTGAAATATGCATTATATATGGTACAATATATGTGAAATACACATTGTATATGATATAAACAATATATGTGAAGAATATGTTGTGTACTGTACAATGTATGGGAATTATACATTGTATATTATATCAACAATGTATGTGAAAGATTTGTTGTTGTTGTTATGTGCCATCGAGTCATTTGCGACTCATTGCGACCCTATGTACAACAGCCCTAAACCCTGCTCTATCCTGTGCCAATCTCATTGCCTCTGACACCCCCATCCCGATTCCCCCAGTCACTGAATCAATCCACCTCATAGAGGGTCTTCCCCTCCTGCACTGTCCCTCTACTCTACCCAGCATGATGTCCCTCTCTAAAGACCTGTCTCTCCTTGCAACATGTCCAAAGTATGTCAGACGAAGCCCCAGAATCTTTGCCTCCAAGGAGTAGCCTGGTTTAACCCTCTCTAGGATGAATCTGTTTGTTTTCTTGGCAGTCCATGGTACGTTCAATACTCTTCTCCAGCACCACAGCTCAAAGGCATCAATTCTCCTTCTGTCCTCCCTAGTCATTGTCCAACTCTCTGATGCATACCAAGTGATTGCAAAGACCATGGCCTGTATCAGGCGCACCTTCGTCTCCAAAGAGACACCGTTGCTCTTGAGTACTTTAGACTACATTTTGTATTTTATAATGCATGCGAAGGATACATTTTGTATTGTATTATAATGTGTGTGAAATAGACATTGTGTCTTGCACGATGTATGTGAAATAGACATTGTGTATTGTACAATACATGTGAAATGTACTTTGTATAAGCAATAAACAATGTAGATGTGTGCAAATAAAAAAGAAAAAAACGAAAGCATAAATAAAATAAACTCCTTGAAGCAGTTCCCTGTGTCCCAGGATGGAGCTTGGAGTTAACTTTGGCTTTCAGGTACCCAACAATAGCCTTTCAATGCTTTGACCATATACAAACGTGATCCCAGCTAACTGGAAAGGGCCAAGTTTGAATTCACTCCCTAGCAACTCACAAGATAAGTCTGAGACAACCTTGTTTTTTTAAAATTTTTTAAAAATTATTTTTAGGAAGCTCTGGGGGCCTAGTGGCAAGAAACTGCACTGCAATTCCAGAGGTACATGGTTCAAATCCACTAGATGTTCTGCTGGAGAAAGAGGGGCAACCTCCTCCTGTACCAGTCAGATCTGATTTGACGTTACACACATACAAAATAATAAAATAAAAATTTTAAAAATGTAAAAAAAAAATTAAAAATTGTCTTATTTTTTGTGTGTGTACTGTCCAGGAGGACATTGCCCCTCCTTCTCCAGCAGAGCATCTGAGAGGTAACCTCTTAAAGATTAAAGCCAAATCAACTATATAGACCTGGAGCAAAGACATGGCAAGAAAAGGAAAGATTGAAAGGGACAGTGAACTCAAAGGACTCAGCTTTTTACCAAATAGATCAAGGATACCATGAAGGAATGGCTGCCATGGGACCGCCAACCCCATGAGGCCCAAAGGTCAGCATTTGCCCCAAAACAGAACTCAGGAACAAGAAAGCAGCGGGATACAAGGATGAGTGGACATGGCCGCAGGCTGTGTGCTGCCCCATTGAGCAAGACTGAGCCCATGTAGAAAAACAAAACATGTACACGTTGTTGAGAAAAACATTAATTTAATCTGTAAACTTCTTACACGTCAATTAAATATTTTTTTTAAAGATGCAACAATGAATGAATGGGAATCCAAAGTCTCTAAATTTTCGTTGAAATTAATAACAAAAAAAATTTAAAAAGAACATAATTTGCACACGAAGAAGGAAAAAACAAAACAAAACAAAACAAAACAAAAAACAACCCCAAACAGCAAACCCAGCAACAACAAACCCCAATCTTTTGAGGTGGTGCTATTTTTGAAACATTTTTTTTTTGGTCACAGTCATTATTGTTTTATTTTTAAAAAAATAATTTTAATCAGCATTTATAGAGATTTTTTTTATTTCCATTCATTCATTGCTGCACTTAAAACATTTTTAAAAATTAATTTATGTATGTGTGCTGTCAAATCAGATCTAACAGGTACAGGAGGAGATGGTCCCTCCTTCTCTGGCAGAGCATCTGGTGGATTTGAACCGTGTATCTCTGGGATTGAAGTGCAGCTTCTTGCCACTAGGCCACCAGAGCTCCCTGTCTGGGCTATTTTGTAACATAGGGTGTCATGAGAAACAATTAAGAAATAAAATGGATACATACAAACAAGTCAAAATTCTTGCTGGAGGAGGGAGAGCGAGGAAAAAAAATGACATGTGTGAATGAATGGAAATCAATCAATTTGTCAACTTTCACTAACACTTTTGTTAGATACCAGAGAGTCAAGGATGACTTGTAAAGACCCTTTGAACACAGAGCTGACCCCTGTCCTGTCCTCCACGTCTCGGACAGGCTCCAGCCCATGGCTGTGGGAACTGTGTCCATCCTCTCTGTCTCTGACCCTCCACCGTCCCCAGCATGATGTCCTTCTCCAAGGACTGGCCCCAGAAGACCACATGCCCACAGGATGTGAGCTCAAGTTTCCCCATCCTGGGCTCCAAGGAGACCCCTGGCTGCATTTTCTTTAAGACACACCTGTTTGTTCTTTCAGCAGCCCACAGCCTATATTCAGTACTCTTCTCCAACACCACAGCTCAGAAAATCAGGTATTTTAATATAGATCCAGAAAATGCAGATGCCACCCACACAGTTACATGTCCCTGCTCTCTGTGGGCTCACTGGCCACCATCTAGACAATGACCACTGAGCTTCCCAGCAAAGAATTAATTCTTCAGCCTGAAGTCCTCTGACCTCCAAGAGCACCCGTCCCTGGACCTTGGTCAACACTGGGTGCTTCTGATTGAGTCTAACCTTTCTAGACATGGGATCTACAAGGTAAATCCCATTCTGCAGTGGTCAGAGGGTCTTGCTTGCTGACCAGTGGCATGTGTCTCTGTGTGTATGTGTGTGTGGGGGGGGGTGCTAGAAGCTCCGTTGTCAGTATTTTAAACAGGGTCACCCCAGCAGGGTGGGCAGGTAGAGAGAGGCTACACATCACCTCACTAAATGCTGTGGGTCACACAGCAGGACATTGTCCAAAGCACAGCTGATAGCCGAGCCCCTGCGGTGGGAGACCAACACAGAGTGACCACAGCTGCAGTGGACACACACAGGTCAGCCCCTCCTGAAGACGGCACAGGCCAGGGATGCCGTTTGTTGTGCTGTCCACTGGCAGGACATGAGTTGCAGTGGCATGGATGACCACTGACCACACCCAAGACACGTTCTATATGGATAGGGTTCATTTGGACTCCCCGGTCTTGGGTCCAGCTCTGTCCTGGAATTTCTAACACCGGTGTCCAATGCCACACCATCACACGTAAAAAATCAAGACATCTGGAGCTCTGGTGGCCTAGTGGCAAAAAGCTGCGCTGCAATATGAGAGGTGTGAGGTTCAAATCCACCAGATGCTCGGCTGTAGAAGGAGGGGCAATCTCCTCCTGTACCACTCAGATGTGAATTGATGGTACACACACACACACACACACACACACACACACATATTTTTTAAAAAAAATCAAGAAGTCCACACACACACACACACCACAGACCCAAGCCCCTGGGGGTGGCCGCCAGCATGGCCACATCTTTCGCTAGCCCGGCCGGTGTCACGAGAACTCTTCCACTATGGTGAGCACTTCCTTGTCTGCCAATTTCTCTACATTCAGCGGAGGTGCTGCCCAGTTGACCTGAGTGGACAGAAGAGAGTGGACATTGTGGGTGGGATGTCACAGGTGGGGGTTGCTGGGGGCTGTCCTCTCTCTAACGGGACCTCAAGTGGACACTGTGTGTGATGTGTTCCCTGAAGCATTAGAGGCACATGTTCTGGTACAGGACACTCCAGTGGATGCTGCCAAGGCCACGAGGCTGTCAGGGTGTGATTGTGGAGCAGAGGTAGCGTGGCTGGGCTGGGGGACAAGGATGAACCTGGAGGTCAGAGTGGAGTGTGGACAGGAAGTAGAGATAAGGCCATGATGTCCATAGAGACCAACACGAGTGGACAGTGGGTGGGAGTGGTGGACAGTGGGTGGGAGTGGTAGACAGTGGTGGGAGTGGTGGACAGTGGACAGAGGCTGGAAGACAGTCCACAGTCGGGGGGTGGGGGGAAGGTCCAGTAGATTCGGACACAAGGCCCTGCACGTAAAAGTGTTTCTTCAGAGACCCTGAGTGTGTGTCATGCCAGGTCCCAAGGCTCTGTCTGTTTGTCTGTCTGTCTCTTTCCTTCCATTATTCATTCTCCTTGTCTCCCTCCTCTTGTCTCTCTTTCAATCTCTGTGTCTGTCTGTCGGTCAAGTCCTCCAGATGCAGCCCACAGAGAATAACCCCCTTGTCCAGCCCAGGGGAAGGCAGTGAGCAGAACACAGCCTCTCAGACACATTGGCATCCAATGAGGGTGTCACATGTCACATAGGAAGGGAGTTCTCTGGAGCCCCCAGTCCCTTGTCCCTCCAAATCTCCACCCATCCCTCGCCCAACCCCGTGCACACCTGCTGACCATCTCGGATCTTGTCTTTGATCTTGGGAATTGGAGGGAAGAGGTTGTGCAAGAGGTGGGACCTGGTAAGACAGAAGGGGGTGAGGAGAGGGTTAGTGTGGATAGACTGCCCACTGTGACAGCCTATCAACAGTGGCCCCCAAGTCTTGTTTAACAAGCTTTCTGAGAGCCCCCAAGAACAGGAGGACCACCTGCAGCGGGCCAAGGGGCACATAAGGCCAGCTCCTGGCTACAAGGCCAGAGGATCAAATCCATCTCAAGGTGCTTCAGGAGAAAAGCGTGGCTGCTTGCTTCTGAAAGGTCCCAGCTCTGGAAGGCCCACGGGTGTGGCTCTGCTTGGAGTGGACTGGTCAGCAATTCTCAACCATGCCAGGATGACTGAAGGATTGTCACCAAGTGTGCTGGGTGTGGGGACATGAGGGGTCACGGTGAGTGATGGCCACTTTACCGAACAAACTGGGAAAGGATAGGAAGCTGGAGAATAGTCTAGTGGGGGGTGTGTGTATGTGTGTGAGAGAGAGAGAGAGAGAAGGAAAGAAACAGGGAGAGACAGAAAGAGACAGAGACACAGACAGACACACACACACACACATACACACAGGGAGATACAGAGAGAGACAGAAAGAGAGATAAAGACACACAGAGACATAGAGAAAGAGGGATAGAGAAGGAGACAGAGAGAGACAGGGAAAGAGAGACAGACATGGGGGGAGAGATGGAGCGAGAGACACACACACAGAGAAAGAGACACAGAGAGACATATACACATAGAGACAGAGACAAAGAGAAAGAGAGAGGAGAGGGTGAGAGAGAGACAGAGAAGGAGAGAGACAGAAAGACACAGAGAGACAGAAAGAGAGACAGAGACTGGGAAACGGAGAGAGAGAGAGAAAGAGGCAGAGAGAGAGAGAGAGAGAGAGAGAGAGAGAGAGAAATGCACAGAGACAGAGAGAGAGACTAGGAAACAGGGAGAGAGAGAGACAGAGAGGGACTGGGAAACAGAGAAGGAAAGAGAGAGAGAGAGAGAGACAAGACAGAGATAGGCAGAAAGACAGAGAAAGAGTGTCAGAGACTGAGAAACAGGGAGAGAGAGATAGAGCAAGATACAGATAGAGATTGAAATAGAGACAGAGACAGAGAGACAGAGACAGAAAGACAGAGAAAGAAAGTCAGAGACTGAGAAACAGGGAGAGAGAGAGACAGAGACAGGAAGAGAGAGAGAAAGATACAGAAAGAGACACACACACAGAGAGACAGAGAGGGAGAGATGCTAAGAGAGAGTGAGAGACAGAGACAGACAGAGACTGAGAGAGAGAGGAGGAGGAGGAGAAAGACGAGGAGGAGGAGGAAGAGGAGGAGAAGAAAGGAGGAGAAAGAGGAGGAGGAGGAGAAAGAGGAGGAGGAGGAGAAAGAGGAGGAGGAGGAGGGACAAGGTGAAGAGGGCTGCCGAAATAGAAAATACAGAGTGATGTGGCCTGCAGCCAGCAGCCCCAATTTCTGAATGGCACCTCACCCGAGTGGCCCAGGAGATATCTCGCCTTTGAACTTGTTTAGAGATCACCCTGTGGGCGTCCATCCTCTGCAGGTGGGCCCTTGGGGTGTTTGTCCTCACGGCTGAGTGGTGGTTCAATGTGTGAACTGGCCACATCACCCGCTGACAGGTACTCAGGGTGTTTTGATCTCGTGGCCCCTGTGAATGGTGTTGCAATGCCCACAGTGCACACAAAGACATGACATGTCCGTCTGTGTGTATCGTCTGTCAGTCATGCTCCCCAGGTGCCAGCTTGTCTCTCCTCTGTCTGTGCCACATTTATCTGCCTCTCTGTCTTTAAAGCCTTGATCTCCCTTTTTCATGCCTTAATTTTAGTTCCTTTGGGCACGCACCTGGGTCACACAGCAGCCCTCGTGTCTGGAAGGAGTCCCACCTGGCCCGCCCGCGGTGTGGTTACCTTTTACAGAGGACCCAGAGGGATAGGGCCACAGACAGGGTCCCCAGGACCACGAGAATGTAGATGTAGGCGGAGTGAGGTTCTTGTTCTTCAAGCCCTAGACAGAGAGGAGAGAGAGAGAGAGAGAGAGATAAACAGAGAAAGACACACACAGATAGAGACAGACACACAGAGAGATCATTTAAATGTCTATGATCTTCTTTGTCTTTGTATAGGTACATTTTCCCCCACCCCTCCTCTGTCTGTCTTTATCTTCCTCTCATGATCCCACCCATTATCCACCCACCCATCCTTCTATCCATTCATGCATGCACCCATCCATCCATCCATCCCTCTCTCCAACTAATTATCCATCAATCCATCCATCTACCACCCATCCATTTCATCCAGTATCTATCACTCAGCCCTTTATCTATCATCTATCTATCTATCTATCTATCTATCTATCTATCTATCTATCTATCTATCTATCTATCTAACCATCCACCCACCCACCCACATATCCCTTCATCCATCTATCTCTATCATCTATCTATACATTATCTATCTATCTATCCATCCACCAACCCACCCACCTATCCCTTCATCCACCTAGATCATCTATCCATACATTCTCTCTTTCTCTCTCTGTCTCTCTTTATCTCTCTCCACCCATCATCTATCCTTCCTTTCCTCTCTATCTAATATATCTTAGTCATTATCCACCCACCCTCCACCCATTTTCTATCTATCTATCTATCTATCTATCTAATTGTCCATCCATCCATCCATCTACAATCCATCCTCCCTCTCTGTCTACCTATCTTATCCATTATCCATCCATCCACCTACCCACCCATCATACATTTAGCTCCTCCATTACCATCCACCCACCTCTCACCCATCATTTATCTGTCTGTCTGTCCACTCACTCTGCACTCCATCCATCCATCCATCCATCCATCCATCCATCCATCCATCCATCCATTTGTCATCCATCCATTCATCATCCATCCACCATCCATCCATCCATCCATCCACTCATGGACCCATCCACTCATCCATCCACTCACCTGTCCATCCATCCATCCATCATTGATCCATCCATCTATCCATCCACCCATCCATCCATCCATCATCCATC